CTGGAGATCAGTGAAGAAATAACTCCAGAAAGAATGAAGAGACAGAGACAAAGCAAAAACACCACCCAGCTGTGGATGTGACTGGTGATGGAAGTAAAGTCCGATGCTATAAAGAACAATACTGCATAGGAACCTGGAATGTTAGGTCCATGAATCAAAGCAAATTAGAAGTGGTCAAACAGGAGATGAAAAGAGTAAATGTCGACATTCTAGGAATCAGCAAACTAAAATGGACTGGAATGGGTGAATTTAACTCAGATGACCATTATATCTACTACTGTGGGCAAGAATCCCTTAGAAGAAATGATGTAGCCATCATAGTCAACAAAAGATTCCAAAATACAATACTTGGATGCAATCTCAAAAACAACAAAATGACATTACTTGCTGCTTATTTTATATTTATTTTAGACTATGGAAATGTTAGATAAAAAGCAAATTGGAGTAATTTTCTGATTCAAGTTCAAAATGGGTTGTAAAGCAGCAGAGACAACTCACAACACCAGCAATGCATTTGGCCCAGGGACTGCTAACGAATGTACCATGAAGTACATGGTACTTCAAGAAGTTTTGCAAAGGAGATGAGAGAGCCTTGAAGATGAGGAGTGCAGTAGCTGGCCATCTGAAGTTGGCAACGACCAACCGAGAGGACCATCTAAGCTGACCCTCTTACAACTACACGAGAAGTTGCCAAAGAACTCAATGTCAATCATTCTATGGTCATTTGGCATTTGAGGCAAATAAGAAAGGTGAAAAAACCTGGTAAGTGGGTACCTCCTGAACTGACTGAAAATCAAACAAATTGTCATTCTGAAGTGCTGTCTTCTCTTATTTTATGTAACAACGACAAACCATTTTTCAATCAGATTGTGACCTGCAACGAAAGTGGATCTTGTGCAACCAGCTCAGTGGTGGGACCAAGAAGAAGCTCCAAAGCACTTTCCAGAGCCAAACTTGCATCAAAAAAAGATCATGGTCACTATTTGGTGGTCAACTGCCCATTTGATCCATGACAGCTTTCTGAATCCCAGCAACACCATTATATCTGAGAAGTATGCTCAGTAAATCAATGCAAGGCACAGAAAACTGCCACACCTGCCACCATCACTGCTCAACAGAAAGGGCCCAACTGTTCTCCACGACACCACCAGACCACACGCTGCACAACCAACATGTCAAAAGTTGAACGAATTGGGTTACAAAACTTTGCCTTATCCATCATATTCACCTGAACTCTCAGCCAACTGACTACCACTTCTTGAAACATCTCCAACAACTCTTTGCCGGGAAGATGAATGCTTCCACAATCAACAGGAGACAGAAAATGCTTTCCAAGAGTTCCTCAAATCCCAAAGCATGAATTTTTATGCTACAGGAATAAACAAACTTATTTCTCATTGGCAAAAATGTGTTGATTGTAATGGTTTCTATTTTGATCAACAAATGTGTTTAAGCCTAGTTACAATTATTTAAAATTCACATTCCAAAACTGCAATTACGTTTGCATCAACCTAATATCAATATATGTTCCACCATTTCATTCAACAAATCCTTTAACAAGTACTTACTATGTGCAAGGTGTTCTGCTATAAAGTGGTACAAAATTTCTAGAATTTGTTTACATTTTCTACCCCTTCGGGCTTCACTGGTGGCTCAGATGTTAAAGAATTCAACTGCAACGCAGGAGACCTGGGTTCAACCCTTGGGTTGGGAAGTTCCCCTGGAGAAAAGATTGGCAACCTGCTCCAGTATTCTTGCCTGAGAAATCCTATGGACAGAGAAGCCCGGTGAGGGGTTGAAAAGAGTCGGACACTGAGCAACTAACACTTTCTACCCCCTTTAATTCATTACTTTTTTTTTCCAGTTAGTAGTTTAAAGTACATAACAACAACAAATATCAAATTTCCCTAGGGTTCCCTCAACCTACAATGCTCTTTCACATTCTCCTTATCCATACATATTTATTCACAGTCATTGAACAAAAAGTACAGTGCGAGGTACTGTAATGTGTGCTAAGAAATATGGTTCCAAAAAATTAAAAAAAAAAAAGAAATATGGTTCCTTCTCTCAAGGAATGAAGAAAGGATAAAGACAGTGAAGACATTTCAGAAGGAGACTCTACAAATATTAGTGTCAACAGGGGTATAAGAAAAAGAAACAGATGAGTTCTGTTTTTGAAAAACTAAGTAGATGATGATGTCATTAACAAAATAGGTATCTGAATGGTTTGTCTTCCAACAATTAAAAATTTGGTTTTAGAATGTTAAATATAAAGTTGCTTCTGGATAGTCCAGTTGAGTCATCGAGATGGGAATTAGTTAATACCAGTCAATACTTGAGTAGCCACTATGTGGCAGGATCCAAGGGCATTTAGTAAGACATCACCCCAAACTCAAAAGAATTTAAGTCGGGTGACAGAATGCAAGTAAACAGATGCTTAAAAGCAAAACTCAGGTAAAAGAGAGGCAGCATAAGCACTGGCCAGATGATGCAGGACCCTGGGGTCATCCTTAGGAGACTGGGTTCAGCCAAGCAAGGCAGAGCCACTGAAGTGTTTAAAACGGAATGGCTTCCTTAGGTGTGCATTTTAGAAAGAAGACTAACTTCAGGGGAGAAAACAGGCTGAAGCAGGCAAAAATGAAAGACAAAGTGAACACAGGAAGCTGCTGCAGAAATCTGAACAAGAGCTGATAGGCACCAAGATGCACAAAGATTAGGGGAGGAGATGTATTAATAGGTAATATTTGAGACACTGCTTTTTCCTAGACCACACTCAATTAAAATCTCTAAAGCACAACACTAGAAACTGAACTATTTTTAATCATTACAATAAAATAATTATAGTTACATGCAAACACTAAACAACTGAAGGGCCCAGCACTACACTATGTCCAGTCTTTCCTTATCTATATCAAACTATGGGAGCCACATTCTTATGAAGTTATCAAATAAATAGCAAGGTCTGGAAAAATTCTGCAAATATACATTTTGATCAGGGAACTGAGGAATGTAAGTTTTTTCTATAACCACTTTACATGGCCTTCATGAAAAATACATAATATGATCTAAATATACAGCACACAATAAAGACCAAAATTGAACAGACCCAAGCAACAAGTTCCTCTGTGATTATTCAGTCACTTCATTAGCCGAAGAGCTTATAATATATGGAGCTTATATACCTTTAGAAAAGGAAGTTTTCTATACATCTCTTACTAATAGGGCCCAATGATTTGATTAAAGGTGACAATGTGTCTAGACTCCTTTAAGTTCACCAGCTCTAAGTCACCATGTGATGCAATTCTGATGAATAAAATATAAGCTGAGGGTTTCCGGGGAAGCCCTTTCCTGCTTCTCATCTTCCTCCCTTCTGGAATGTAGATAAAAGGCTGAAGCTGGAGCAGCCCTCTTGTAACTATGAGGTAATAAGCATGAGAACAAAGACTATGTGCTAGGTGGCTAACCCTACCTAGAGACCTTTTATACAGGGAGAACAATAAATCCCTCTTCGATTAACTGTATACTCTGCATCCCTTAGGAAAGGCCAGGCTACTTAATAGGTCAGCTTCATGGTCAGTTCCATTTACCTATCCAAACTCATTTCAGACCAATCACTGTCTCTTACTTTCCACCCCAGTAATTCTAAACCCTATCAGAACAGCACATAACAGTGAGCTGTTTTTCACCTTTCTACTTTTAATTCTCTACATTCTCTCATCCTTCCATTTCTTCACCAGATTTACAATTCCTCAGCATTCCAGACCTCCTGACTCCTAGCTGAGGTAGGTGCCCTCCCTCCTTGTTCTTACATCTCCTCACATGTATAATGACTGCACTGTACTATAGCTATTCACTTAAGTATCTGTCTTCCCAACTAGATTACCAGCTCCTCAAGAAGAAAAACAATGTCTTAGTTTCCCTGGTATTCCTAGATCCTGTGGCAATACCTGGCGCACTAAGGATGTCCAGTAAATGTTCGCTGAATAAATGAAAGTTACATAAAACATGACTTTTAATTTTTGTTGTTTAGTTGCTCAGTTGTGTCTGACTCTTTGTGACCCCATGGACTGCAGCACACCAGGCTTCCCTGTCTTTCACCATCTCCCGGAGTCAGCTCAAACTCATGTCCCTGGAGTCGGTGATGCTATCCAACCATCTCATCCTCTGTCATCCCCTTCTTCTCCTGCCTTCAATCTTTTCCAGCATCAGGGTGCTTTCCAATGAGTCAGTTCTTCACATCAGGAGGCCAAAGTATCAGAGCTTCAGCTTCAGCATCAGTCCTTCTAATGAATATTCAAGGTTGGTTTCCTTTAGGATTGACTGGTTTGATCTCCTTGCTGTCGAAGGGCCTCTTAAGAGTCTTCTCCAGCACCACAATTCAAAAGCATCAGTTCTTCAGCACTGAGCATTCTTATGGTCCAACTCTCATATCCATACATGACCACTGGAAAAACCAAAGCTTTGACTATACAGACCTTTGTTGGCAAAGTGATGTCTCTGCTTTTTAATTCACTATGTAAGTCTGTCATAGCTTTTCTTCCAAGAAGCAAGCAGCTTTTAATTTCATGGCTGCAGTCACCATCCACAGTGATTCTGGAGCCCAGGAAAACATTCTGTCACTGTTTCCATTTTTCCCCATCTATTGGCAACCTCCTCCAGGAGTGTTTTTAATTATTTAAAACAAATTACAGCAAAAGGACTGTTAAATGACTTCTCCCTAATATCAAAAGCTAATTTTCACCTGTAAATTTCCCCTGAAAATGAGAAAAGTGCTTGAGTATATTCTATCACCACATATTGCTTTATAATATCATTTGTGCTTAGAACTGAAAGTCCTAAGACAACCCAACAAAGCTATTCTCATCTTTCTCGAAAGATAAGTCTCACTTCTGATGGGAAGTCAGAAGAAAAAACTAAGATGACTAAATACATTTTATTGTACATGACTAGCAAAATTTATCAAAATGAAGGTAAAATAAAGAAATAAAATCTCTTCATACCTGTCACATTGCTGCATTATGGAAATTTCTTTGATTATTTCCTGAAGATCTGATTCAACAGGTACTTGTTTAATTGCCACAACTTGACCAGATTCCTTATGTATTGCTTTAAATACACTTCCATAAGACCTAAAAGAAACCAAGACATGCCTTTAGTTTTTTCCTTTCAAACATCGTAACTATTAGAGAAAGAGTCTGAGTGTTCACATGTAGTCTTTTCTAATTTAAAATACTACTCAATGGTGACAAATCAAACGAAATAAATTTTAAAAGTGAATTATATCTTAGCTTTAATGCTTCAATTATAGGCTTAAAACTCATTAACATCACCAAATTAACAGAAAAAGATTTGCTCTGTTTCTTATGAATGAAAGAAATAGACTTACGGTTTGTCAACTCAAACAACTGCAGCATTAAGAAGATACATAAATGGAAGTTAAAAGAATGGAATATAGAATAAAAACAGCCAAAATCTCATGTTAGGAGAAAAGGCTGATCTCACCTTAAGCAAAATCATCCCCAAAATATCAGAGTCCCACACCTGCCTAGACTGCTTACAAGTAACTGAAACCTTCACCATGGGTTTGTATGTATATGTGTGTGTGTGTATAGTCCTAATTTACACACATGCACATATACAGGTAAACCCACTTTTCAAAAATTCACTTTACGCACGATCATTTTTACAAAAGCCCTGGAATAACACCTGTTTCACTAACCAGATGAAATCTGAAGAGGATTTACACTTTTACAAAAAAAGGTGAAAACAAAAACAGCATTCAACATTTATTTTTGCAGGAGCTGTTAGAAAGGGAGAAAGTACCATGAGCAGCAACAGTGGCACTGCCAAGCTCATTCCTAGAATTACACTCAGCATCTCAGCATCAAGCCACCATACCTCTGAGCTTTGTCTGAGAGGATCTGTGCTTTATCTCACAATTTATTTTCTGTAACCGTTAGCAAGATGTGTTGTAATATATCTGCTTCAGCTCCTCTGTCCATGGAATTCTCCAGACAAAAATACTGGAGTGGGTAGCCATTCCCTTTCTCCAGGGGATCTTCTCAACCCAAAGATCAAACCTGCAACTCTTGCGTTGCAGGCAGATTCTTTATTGTTTGAACCACCAGGGAAGCCCTTCTTTGCTTTACGTTTCAACTTACTAAAGGTTTCATAAGAATGCTCTACTTTCAGAGAGCAAGGGAAATCTGTATCTCCCCCTTTGAAGCCATATATATGTGTGTGTATGCGTGTGGGTGTATTATATATATATATATATAGCCCCTCAAAAGCTAGTCTAGAATTAAGAGCTAGATTAACTATTGCCAATTAAGCAACACCATCAGTCTCTTCTAAGGTCTTCCTGTCACTACAAAAGAAAACTGGGATCCACATTTCCCAGATTTCCCTTCCCTGAATGGATCCCACTTAAGAGTCTGACAATGAGGAGAACATTCATGAAATCTGAATGGCAAAAAGCTGAGGAAAGACCATCACTTTTCAAATACAGCTGCAGCAGATGCCTGACCAAACATCAGATATATAGTGCCTTCCTGCTGAGCTTCTTGATAACCACCACACTACTGCTGCAGACTAAGAGAGCTGGTGGGAGCACCTAAACGATTCTCAGGGATTCCAGCAGAGCCCATGTGAGCTTTGGAGAAACACCACATCAGTGCTGAGACTTGCAGCACCAGCTTCTCTGGGCTTCAGTGACAGAGTCCATAACCTTTGCATCCCCGGCCTTTGCACAAGTCATTTCAGCTCCAAATTTCATAGTAAACTCTTCATGCCTGGAGTTCATAGAGTGACCTTTCTTTTCACAACCATGATCTGCTGCCAATAGTTTTGGGGAAGGAAGTGGTTCCCAGGGAAAGAATCTTAAGAAATGGGAATCTTGGATTAGTTCTTTCTTAGATTTAAAGATAGTAATGATGTCAATGCAAGGGACAAGCAGAACACTGATAGACTAAGGTATCTGATGGCAAAATAATTATTTAAATTATTATCCTTAGTTCCTGGAGTCTAGGGAAAGTTTTAGAAGATCAACTACCTGAATCAATTGAATGTTACAGTGAAAATAAGAATACAAAAACTGCAGAATGGAATGGCTGCTCCTGACTAAGCTGGAAAAGTCATAAAACAAACATAACAAGCTCAGGGCTTAAATTCCCAGGCCAAGACTGAGAGATCCAGAAAACTTCTGAATGCTTCGAAGAAAAATCTTATTTCTTATACATCCAAGACTGAGACTTCTGAAACCCAAAATCTAATCTTGCCAGAAGCTGAATTACAATGCAAACTCAATTCACAACATCACTGGGTCTTACTGTTTCATTATGAGTTCTCTTTCATATCACTACCTAATATCCCTCTTCATTCTTTATCTGAATATTAACTCCTCTTTACTCACTTACGATATTTTAACTTTAATTTATGTGATATAAACATTGCCATTCACGCTTTCTTTCTGATGTGGTTACCTCTTTCTTATCTCATGTCTCTAATAGGAAATATCACTATATGTCCACCCTTTGTATTAGGCCTCTTATAAACAGCATATAGCTAGAGTTTGCATTTTAATTGACCCTAATAGTCTGTCTATGGAAGAACTGACATTTAGTGAAAAATACATTTCACTTTATTCCTTCTAACTTAAATTTATCTTACTATTTTATATTTTTGTTTTCTCTATTTCCTTTTCCCTGTTCTTACTGATCTAATCTGTTTTGTGTTTTATGCCTTTATTACCTTGGAAGTTTTCCTATACTTTTGGTTTTTCATTATGGAGTATGATGTTAGCTTGGGCTTGTCATATATGACCTCTGCTATGTTCAGGTATTGATACATTCCCTCTATACACTTACTGTTTAATTCAATCAAATATACTCTAGTGAAGGACTAATCTTACATGGTATGTTATAATTGTTCTGTCATTATCTAAAAGCTACTTTTGTATTTTTTGTACTTACCCTTCTCCCAGTTTCTCTAATACATCAAAAACTTCTTCAGGCTGTTTAGTCAAACTGTCTTCACTCAGCTTTTTTAGCTTACTAATGAGAAAAACAAAAGAAAAAGCATTTTCTGTAAGATCTCTTATAGATTTTTACAATTTTAAGAGACAATATATTCAGATGGTTCAAAACTCAAAAATACAAAAAAGTATACAGTATATAGTCTCCTTGCAATTCCTGTTCTTAAACTTCCCAGAAACATGGCAAAGAATAAGCACTTTTATTACCTTCCTGTGAAACCTTTAAAAAAATATTTCTATTTCTCCCCCTTTTGAACACACAATATAGCATTTTCTACACATGCTGTATATATACTTTTTACACACGCTGTTACATACTTTGATGTTTTCATATAACAAAATCTCTGCTGGAGATCTCTACAACATAAATTCATAGAAAACATCTTCATTCTTTTCTTTTTTCTTAGCAATCCTTTACTTATAGATATCTAGGTTCCCTTTTGCTATTATAAACACTGAAATAAGTAAGCTTATAGGTAAGTCAGCTAATACATGTGCTTGCATATCTTTAGGATAAATTCCCAAACATGAAACTGTGAGAGCAAGAAAATATATAAACACACAAAATATAGACGTTTGTGTGTGTGGCTCAGTCGTTTCAGTCATGTCCAACTCTTTATGACCCTGTGGAGTGCAACCCGCCAGTTTCCTCTGTCCAAGAACACTGGAGTGGGCTGCCATACCCTCCTCCAGTGGATCTTCCTGACCCAGGGGTCGAATCCATGTCTCCTGCATCTCCTGCATTGCAGGCAGATTCATTATCACTGAACCACCGGTGAAGCCCATATAGAAGTATACTATGATAAGTAAGTACATATACTATAAGTATGACCATATTTCATAATATAAATTTAATAACAATAAAATCACTGTTATAATAACTGATACTAATTATTAAAATTGCTGATTGATTATATTATGGTATATTTTATCTACTACAATTGTGCATCATGTCAATATATATGTATATTAATGGACACCAGCAAATTGCCCTCTGGGGGCAACTTACACCAATTTACTTTCCTGCCAGTAATACACGAGAAACCTTCTTTTCCCACAATTCCACCTATAGAGTACTAAACTCTATATCTGGATAGATACATTAAACTTTATATTTGGAAATATTTGGATTTCAGCCAATATATTAGGTAAAAACTTATAACTCAGATTTATTTTGCATTTCTCCTACTGTGAGTGAAGTTGAGCATCTTTTACTACAGTATGAAGCAAAATCATCTATTCATGATCTGTGCTCCCTTTGCTTCTGGGTTTTTGGTCCTTTTCTTATCTGTACACAGAGATAAGAAAAGGTTTAGGTTGCAAATATTCCCATTTGTAGTGACTTTACTTATGAGTTTTTAGTTTTTATGGGCTACTTGACTGGTTGCCATAGAGAAAACTTTTTAATTTGTTTTTGCTTTTTTAAAAGTTATCCAAAGTATGGCATGGGCAGAAATATCTAGAAACAAGAAGTGAGAGACATTATACATGGTGTGTTTGACAGACCAAAAGTAATTCCATATGAATAAAGTAAAAGTGGTCAGGATGCAGAGGTAAAAAGAGTCTTGTAAACCATGTTAAGGAGCTCTGTTTTTAAAAGATCAACCCTCCTATAATCAAGAGGAAGAACATGCAACAAGCAACAGCAGAGAAGGCAAACTAGCAGGGAGTTGTTCAAAATACAGATGCAAAGAATATAGTAGCAGTGGCAATAAGAACCAAGAGAAGACAAGCTAAGCAAGATACTGAGCAGGCACACTCAACAGAAAGTAGTTTTGATTAAATATGCGGAGATGCAAGAAAGAGAGAAGTTGAGAATGTCTCTTAAGCCTTTGGTTTAAGCAAACGATTAGATATAACGTTATTTACCAAACTAAAGAACGCAAGAAAAAAGCTTGAAGAAGAACGTGTTGGGTTTAACTCCTCTCATCCAAATGTAGATTTCCAGTAACCAACTGTTTATATGAATCCCAGGAGAGATCTGAATTGGCAATGTCATTTTTTGGTGTCATGGTAAAGAATCTACCTGCAATACAGGAGACCCAGGTTCAATCCCTGGATCAGGAAGATCCCCTGGAGAAGGGAATGGCTACCCACTCCAGTATTCTTGCCTGGAGAATTCCATGGACAGAGGAGGCTAGCGGGCGATGGTCCATGGGATTGCAAAGAGTCGGACACGACTGAGCAACTCACACACACACAGCACACAGATGAAGCCTAAAGGTATGATGAGGGATAAAGCCATCAAGAAAATGTCTAAGAAGAAATAAGGATCAAAGAGAAAAGAGACGGGGTGAGGAGCCAAGATGGCGGAGGAATAGGACGAGGAGACCACTTTTTCCCCTACAAATTCATCAAAAGAACAATTGAACGCTGAGCAAACTTCACAAAACAACTTCTGATCACTAGCAGAGGACATCAGGTGTCCAGAAAAGCAGCCCATTGTCTTCGAAAGGAGGTAGGACAAAATATAAAAGATAAAAAGAGAGACAAAAGAGCTAGGGACAGAGACCCATCCCGGGAAGGGAGTCTTAATAGAGGAAGTTTCCAAACACCAGGAAACCCTCGCACTGGCGGTTCTGGGGGAAGTTTTCGAATCTCGGAGGGCAACCTAACTGGGAGAAAAATAAAACCCACAGATTATGTGCCTAAAAGCAACTCCCAGCTGAAAAGTACCCCAGATGCCCGCATCCGCCACCAGCAAGTGGGGGCAGAACGGAGAGGAGCAGGCGGCATTGCTTAGGGTAAGGACCGGGCCGAATGCCCTGAGAGCAATCGGAGGAAGCTTTCGTGAGATAGCAACTTAAACTGTGGGATAGCAAGAGTGAGAGAAAAAATTAACCGGCCCAAACACACAGCCGGCCGTTCGCAGAACAAAGGGACTGAGCAATTCCAGAGAAGAGCTAGCCGGCGGCGGACCGGCGGACCGGCCCATCCCCGCCAGAGGCAGGAGGCAGGGGGGAGGGGAAGGGGGCAAACTCGGCCCCAGAGACGGTACCCCCTACCACACTGCAAACAGGCCTCCAGTTTCTAACCAAAGACTTCCTGAGATTCTGGATGGTCGACATCCCCCGGGGAAGTGGGGTGGGGGGTCGCGGCTAGAGGCCAGCTCCCAAGAACAGACACAAGCCGCAGGCACCCGACTGGCGCATGCGCGGAAACTGAGTCTGGGGCAGCGGAGGGGAGAAGGCGCGCCGCACCCAGGGAGAGTGCGCCCGTCAAGCTCCTGGCTGCCTGAGCCGCTCAGGCCAGGGAAGGCACAAAACGCAGGCCCAACTGAGTCCGCGCTTTTGTGGAGAACCGGAAAACTGGAACCGCACACAACGCTGGGCCCGCTCCATATAGAGCAGCCAGGAGCCTTAGCAATGTAGACCGGGAGAGCACACACCCGTGAGCGGGGTGGGCGGGGGGAGCCAAACCCAGTGTGGCCAAACGCTGTGAGTGCTCCCCCCACACACAGCGATATCTGCCTGCAGCACCCCTCCCTCGCCGCAGCGCGACTGAACAAGCGGACCTAAACAAGAGACCACCTCCGCCCGCCTGTGTCAGGGCGGAAATTAGACACTGAAGAGACCGGAAAACAGAAGCCAAATAAAGGGAACCGCTTCAGAAGGGACCGGTGCAACAGATTAAAATCCCTGTAGGTAACACCGACTACACCGGAAGGGGCCTGTAGATATCGAGACGTGTAAGCTGGAATGAGGAGCTATCTGAAACTGAACCGAACCCACACTGACCGCAACAGCTCCAGAGAAACTCCTAGATATATTTTTACTTTTTTTTTTTTTAATTAAAAAAAATTTTTTTTAATTTTTTTTCTCTTATTTTCTTTTAAAATTCCCTATTACTCCCCCATTACTCCTTAACATTTTCATTTTCATATATTTTTACTATTTTTTTAATTAGGAAAAAAATTTTTTTTTCTTGTTTTATTTGTTCTCTTATTTTCTTTTAAAGTCCTCTATTACTCCTCTGTTACTCCTTAATTTTCATTTTCATTTCACTATAACCTTGCCAAAAAAAAAAAGAAGCCCTATTTTTAAACTGAACTTCATATATATTTCTAAAATTTTTTGTGTTTTTGTTTTTAATATTGTATTTTTAAGAGTCTAACCTCTACTCTAGATTTTTAATCTTTGTTTTCAGTATCTGATGTAAATTTTGGACATTTAAGAATCCAATATCCAGTTCCCATTTTTATTCAGGAGTGTGTTGATTACTCTCTCCCACTTTTGACTATCCGTTTTCTACCTCAGAACACCTCTATTTCCTCCCTCCCCCTTCTCTTCTCATTCCAATTCTGTGAATCTTTGTGGGTGTCTGGGCTACGGAGAACACTCTGGGAACAGACAACTCCGTAGATCTGTCTCCTCCTCTTGAGTCCCCCTTTTTCCCCTCCTGCTCACCTCTATCTCCCTCCTCCCTCTCCTCTTCTTCATGTAACTCTGTGAACCTCTCTGGGTGTCCCTCACGGGGGAAAATCTTTTCACCATTAACCTAGAAGTTTTATTATCAGTACTGTATAGTTGGAGAAGTCTTGAGACTACTGGAAGAATAAAACTGAAATCCAGAGGCAGGAGACTTGAGCCCAAAACCTGAGAAGAACAGAAAACTCCTGACTACACAGAACATTAACTAATAAGAGGCCATCCAAAAGCCTCCATACCTACACAGAAACCAACCACCACCCAAGAGCCAATAAGTTCCAGAGCAAGACATACCACGCAAGTTCTCCAGCAATGCAGGAACATAGCCCTGAGCGTCAACATACAGGCTGCCCAAAGTCACAGCTAACACATAGACCCATCTTAAAACTCATTACTGGACACTCCATTGCACTCCAGAGAGAAGAAATCCAGTTCCACACACCAGAAATCCGACACAAGCTTCCCTAACCAGAAAACCTTGACAAGCCAATCGTCCAACCCCACCCACTGGGTGAAACTGCCACAATAAAAAGGAACCACAGACCACCAGAATACAGAAAGCCCACTCCAGACACAGCAATCTAAACAAGAT